GCGCATGAGGTAAGCTCTCCAACATCCACACCAAGACGACGAACGGCGACGAATCTTCCAGCAACACCATCCCAACCAAGACCTCCAGCGACTATTGACGACTTCCTGCCAGAACGCATCGAGTAGGCACATAATACGGCAGTGTAGAATCCTATCGAAGTCGACACAATGACTCCCGAGGAAGAGCGCCAAGCCGCCCTCAACTCGTACCGGGCCAAGCTCATCGAGTCCCGCGAGTGGGAATCAAAGCTGAAAAGCTTACGACTAGAGATTAAGGACCTCCAAAAAGAGTTCGACAAGACTGAGGACAACATCAAAGCGCTGCAAAGCGTAGGTCAGATCATAGGAGAGGTGTTGAAGCAACTCGACGATGAGAGATGTATGGATCCCCACCCTAGTTGGGAGAGAAGGCTCCTAACGAGGAACGACATGTGAATCGGTACTGACAATGCCAAATATAGTCATCGTCAAGGCGTCATCCGGACCCCGATACGTCGTCGGATGCAGATCAAAGGTGGACAAGGTCAAGTTGAAGCAGGGTACACGTGTGGCGCTCGATATGACGACCCTCACAATCATGCGAATGCTGCCTCGCGAGGTTGATCCTTTGGTCTACAACATGTCTCTTGAGGATCCGGGTCAAGTCAGCTTTGCCGGTATTGGTGGTTTGAATGACCAAATCCGAGAACTCCGTGAGGTTATCGAGCTACCGCTGAAGAACCCTGAATTGTTCCTCAGAGTAGGCATCAAGCCCCCCAAGGGTGTATTGCTCTATGGACCCCCAGGCACAGGAAAGACTCTGCTCGCAAGGGCTGTAGCTAGTAGCTTGGAGACCAACTTCCTGAAGGGTAAGAACTGCACCTAGTCATCCTTTGGGGCTACTGCTAATACGAAAATAGTCGTCTCTTCCGGCATCGTGGACAAGTACATCGGAGAGTCAGCTCGACTGATCCGTGAAATGTTCGGATACGCCAAGGAACACGAGCCTTGTATCATTTTTATGGACGAGATTGATGCTATTGGTGGGCGACGATTCTCTGAGGGTACTAGTGCAGACCGAGAAATCCAGCGCACATTGATGGAGCTGCTTAACCAGTTGGACGGTTTTGACTATCTCGGAAAGACCAAGATCATCATGGCTACGAATCGACCAGATACCCTTGATCCTGCTCTTCTGCGTGCCGGTCGTCTGGACCGCAAGATCGAGATTCCCCTGCCCAACGAGGTTGGACGTCTAGAAATTCTCAAGATCCACGCTGCTAGCGTTATAGTGGACGGTGAGCTCGATTTCGAGAGTGTGGTGAAGATGAGCGATGGCTTGAATGGTGCCGATCTGAGAAACGTGGTGACCGAAGCGTAAGTTTATATCTACTCTCTGCCAACATAACGCAACTACTTTTGACATATCACTAACGAGGTGAAAATAGTGGGTTGTTAGCCATCAAGGACGAGCGAGAGTCGATCAGCCAGGATGATTTCAACAGCGCTGTCCGCAAGGTTGCGGAGGCCAAGAAGCTTGAGGGCAAGCTGGAATACCAGAAGCTGTGATGTAGTTGACGGCGGCTCTGAATGAAAGTTAAGATAGGCGCATGAAGTAATTAAGCTACATGTGATTGGCCTGTACTCATAGACTACAGCAAGAGGGCCTGGCGTCATAAGAACTACGAATATAGATAATTGTGTCTTGGCCCAAAAGGGGTTCCGTTCCGTTGCCTTGGTTACCGTAGTGGTGGTGGGGTTTGCCAGGGAGTTGAGTTCAAGCGATCAAAACGCCATGAAAAATTCAGTTATGATGAGAAAAGGACGATGATCTTCTAACCGAGAATAGCAAGCTCGGAAGGTATTCTGAGTTGACATCGGCCTAGGCAAAGGGTGTCGTATCAAGGGCGTGGGATATGTATTTTTTCTTCTGTATGGGGTGCATTAGGAAAGGCATGGTATTGACACACATCAAGCATTACGAAGGCGGCGGCGGCTTCAGCCTGGATCCCTGGAAAGGGGGTTACAATTAGTGCGATAACATCATCGCGTACATAGCACTTAGGGCTGTGACAGGGGGGATGTTCAGATCTTGTCCTTGGAAGTGGTTCTCAGGCCTTGAGGGTGGTGGGTGCATCTGGCGTATAGCAGGTGCATGCCAATCGGGTGGGAGGGTTCCGGTTTGACAGAAAGGTCCCTTAAGTTACTAGCCCCAAAGTTCCTTTTTTTCCCTCCTCTCTGAATGTGATGTGTATATATTATTTCTACTTAGGGATAGCAATCTGACCACCATTGGGAGGCAAAAGTGATAGCGGGATAGCGCTGAGAGGCCAAAGCAAAGGCCCAGACCATGCCCGTTCCCTCTCGACTTTCTTTTTTGCTTTGCTTGGCATCGCTGGGAGCATACCACAGGGCGTAGTGTAATAGTTGATGGCCTCAATTGTAGATGATGGAATGTTGAGGCGCAGTCCGGTAGTAGCCGATGTGGACTGTGGCAAGTGGTAAAAGCGTCTGCTATTCTTGGAGCCGTGTTGAGGCTGTGAGATCTGGCGGCTCATCTTGGCATCGCTGGAGACCGGCGCTGAAAACAGTTCCGGTGGTCATGAGGTCGTAGCGCGCCTGGATATGCTCGGTAATCTACCGCTATCTGCCCGCTACTGTGTACATCGACGGAGGTACCTTACCTTGCCTTGTGTTGCACGGACCGACCAGACGCAAGGCATGCCAAGTGCCGGGGCTAAATGGAATACGAGCCAAATGACTTCATTGTACCTGCGTTTTTTTGCTGGAGCAGGGTGTTTGTTTTGACCGAGCTGGTTTCCTGCTTTGCCCCTTTCTCTTGTTTTGGCAATCCGCCTGTTCATCCTGTTGGAGAAGAATGAGGTGACTCGTATCACTGCAGCGACCAGAGGATGAAATCATGAAACTGGGTTGCGGAGAGTTGGTGCGCTCGGGGCTAGGATCAAAACTTACTTAACTTACTCGCGCAACACCCAATCGATGATCACCCTCCCCTACCGGCGCTGTGTCCACCAGGGGACCAGATCAGCTTCTTGGCTGGGTTCTCTTTCCTGGTTTGCACGTACATCACATCAGCAGCTCGGAAATCTGAGTCCTAGAACGGGCTATTGAGGGAAGAGAGTGCCCCTGCTATTAGCCGCAACTGGTAGCCTTCATGGTATTTGGTTGGTCAGATCAGACTAGGTGGTGGACCCCTTTGTTCTCACAAGTGCTGGGTCTAATTGCTCTGAGATTTTGGAGGAGAATGCTGCTGGCTAGTACGTGAATAGTTCCGAGGCAATGTCAGACGAAGTGAGCGGGCTGCCCACAGTGCATGATGCACTTGCGGCCTGTGGCATGGGTATGTGTTGGGGACGGCTGGCTGCCTACTTTATCTATTGTCAACTCGGCTTGAGCGCTGGGCTGGCATTTACTGTCTGGACTGTGAATGGGGCTGGCTTCACCCTCCGTTTGCATCAAAGGTAATTACCTCGTGGGTGATGACAGAGCTGGAGCTTGGGTGGACCTCCTGAAAGCTTACCACCTGCTTGCCGCCAATCAGTCCCTTGCGCCCAGTGCAGGTTACCAGCAACGGGAGTTAGTGCCAGAGGTGCTGCACCGCTTGTCCTGCAAATGCAAGCTTTAACAGAGAGAATGAACATCGTCTATGTATGGTACTATGTATTTTATACCTGCGGCCGGTTGCCAGAGCACTGCACTGCATTGTATGCGGGCAGGTAGCCAATGTGCGTGCATGCCGCAGCCACCCCCCTGACAAAGGGCTGCCGATGCGGTTTCATGTTGGTGTTGGATGTTTTAAGTCCTACGGCGTCGTGTTCACGTTGACGTCGTCCCGCAGCCTGCCGCCAGGACGGATGAGCCCTGAGCGGGATACCATCTCCACGACGCAGTCAGACACAGGCCGGCGTCTCCCGAGGCTGGCAGGTAGCCATCTTGCTGGTCAGCAGCCAGCGGCCTGGGCGACAAGGGGCGCTGCTATTGAATATCAGCACATCTCAAGCAATGCATGGCGTCCCATCCATCACCATCCATCAGATCAGCCTTGTCATGCTGGCTGCAGTGGGTATTGGTGGTAATTTTGGTACCTGAACCCGCTAACGGGGAACCAGTTGGCTGCGCCCCTCTCGTCCTCCCCGACCGCCCCTCCAACCCCTTCCCCTCCTCGTATGCAATGGCAATGGATGGAGGCACAATCAGTCCCCTTGCCACCACATCACAGCAAGCGGGCAGCTCTGCCCCCACCACACCATCCATCCATACCGCCCATTGACTAGCTCACAGGTATCGTGGTACGGTACGAGGGCAGCACGTTTCTGGCGTGGGCCAGTCACCAGCCGCCGCTAGCAAACATGTACCTTACCACAGCAGAGCTTTTCCCACCGTCGCCATTGGGCCTGAGCGAGCTGCAGCCGATAGCAACCAGGAGCCTGGAAGCAGCCAGTCCAGCCCAGCCCAGCCCAGGCCGGGGACTATGCTGACCTCCACATAGGTAAAGCTGAGCTGAGCCCAAAAGCAAGCCTCAAGTCTGATGGCCGTCAATGGTCCACTAGCCCAGGACTTTCCAGAAGGTACCTACGTATTGTTGATTAAGTACACGTTACTCCGTACCTCAACTGTACATAACGGCGCCTTCTGGCCATCCATCAAGCTTCTGACCTCCTTCCCCTCCTCTCCCCTTTCATTATCTATTTCATCCCTCCCCCCCCCGACCAAGCACCTTGTTTCTCTCCATCTCCTCAAACGAACCTCCGTGATACCCCCCAAGTTCTTCTTCTCTAGCGTTTCTCCTCATTTCCTCGCTCGTTGTACGCTTTTTGGTTCTGTCTGACAGCTATACAACATGTGGTAAGGACCTCCCCTCAGATCTCGTCACCGCCTCTGCCCCGCCGCCGTGCTGTTTCTCGCTGCTTGTCACCGCCGCTCTGGCCCAGCAGCGAGGCGCACAGGCTCTGTCCAAGCCCAATTGGCATTGTGTAGCTCCGGACTGACTGGAATTTAGTGGAATTTTCGGTTACATCAACTACTTGGTCGAGAAGGACCGCAAGTTCATCCTCGACACTCTTGTCAACGGTAAGCGCCCCCCAATCGAATTCCCAGCTGAATCATCTATCCGAGACACCATTGCCTGCAGAGGACACCCGGCTGACTGGAATCTCCCTCTTCCTTTACAGGTCTGTCCCGTCTCGAATACCGTGGCTATGATTCCGCTGGTCTAGCTGTCGATGGCGACAAGAAGAAGGAGGTGTTTGCTTTCAAGGAGGTCGGCAAGGTCGCTAAGCTCAAAAAGCTTATTGACGAGTCCGACGTCGACCTGGAGAAGGTTTTTGATTCCCATGCCGGTATCGCTCACACCCGATGGGCTACCCACGGTCCTCCTTCTACCGTCAACTGCCACCCCCACCGGTGAGTTTTAAACTTTCCCAGCGCTGCATCCAGCGATCTCTGCGTTCGCCGTCCCTCGAGCTAGTAAGAGTAGCGGCTAATTTGTATGCTTTCGGACAGCTCTGACCCCACCTGGGAGTTCACTGTCGTTCACAATGGTATTATTACCAACTACAAGGAGCTGAAGACTCTCCTCGAGAGCAAGGGTTTCCGATTCGAGACCGAGACTGATACCGAGTGTATCGCCAAGCTCACCAAGTACCTCCATGACCAGCACCCCAACATTGGCTTCACCGACCTGGCCAAGGCTGTCATCTCTGAGCTCGAGGGTGCTTATGGTCTTCTGATCAAGTCTGTCCACTACCCCCACGAGGTCATTGCCGCCCGTAAGGGTTCTCCCCTGGTCATTGGTGTCAAGACCCAGCGCCGCATGAAGGTCGACTTCGTCGATGTTGAGTACTCTGACGACAAGACCGCCCTCCCCGCTGAGGCGGCCGCCCAGAACGCTGCTCTGAAGAAGGGTGCCGATCTCCTGACCCCCTCCAACACCCTTCTCGGAGCCCCCGACAAGTCTCTCCTCCACCGCTCCCAGTCTCGTGCCTTTATGACCGATGACGGCATGCCCATGCCCACAGAGTTCTTCCTCTCTTCCGACCCCTCGGCTATTGTCGAGCACACCAAGAAGGTCATGTACCTCGAGGATGACGACATTGCTCACATCCACGAGGGCTCGTTGAACATCCACCGTCTCAAGAAGGCTGATGGAAGCTCCAACGTGCGATCCATCCAGACCCTCGAGCTTGAGCTCCAGGAGATCATGAAGGGCAAGTTCGACCACTTCATGCAGAAGGAGATTTTCGAGCAGCCCGAGTCCGTTGTCAACACCATGCGTGGTCGTCTCGACAACCCCAACAAGACCGTCACACTCGGTGGTCTCCGCTCATACCTCGCCACTATCCGCCGCTGCCGAAGAATCATCTTCATTGCTTGCGGTACCAGTTACCACTCTTGCATGGCTGTTCGTGGTGTCTTTGAGGAGCTTGCTGAGATCCCCATTTCCGTTGAGCTGGCCTCCGATTTCCTTGACCGTGAGGCACCTGTCTTCCGTGACGACACCTGCATCTTCGTTTCTCAGTCCGGTGAGACCGCCGATTCCCTCCTGGCTCTCCGCTACTGCTTGGAGCGCGGTGCCCTGACCGTTGGTATCGTCAACGTTGTTGGTTCTTCCATCTCTCTCCTCACCCACTGCGGTGTCCACGTCAACGCCGGCCCTGAGATCGGTGTCGCCTCCACCAAGGCCTACACCTCCCAGTTCATTGCCATGGTCATGTTCGCTCTGTCCCTGAGCGAGGACCGTGCCTCCAAGAAGGCTCGCCGCGAGGAGATCATGGAGGGTCTCTCCAACATCTCTAGCCAGATCAAGCAGATTCTCGAGCAGGACTCCGCCATCAAGGAGCTGTGCAAGAAGACCTTCCAGAACCAGAAGTCCCTGCTCCTGCTCGGACGTGGCAGCCAGTTCTCCACCGCCCTGGAGGGTGCTCTTAAGATCAAGGAAATTTCCTACCTTCACTGCGAGGCTGTCATGTCTGGTGAGCTGAAGCACGGTGTTCTTGCTCTCGTCGATGAGAACCTCCCCATCATCATGATCCTTACCCGTGATCCTCTCTTCAAGAAGTCTCTCAACGCCTACCAGCAGGGTAAGTTGCCCCTATATAAATTGCCTGATCTCGTGTAAGAAAAAAAAGTATGCTAACACTCAAAATAGTTATTGCTCGTGGTGGCAAGCCCATTGTCATCTGCAACCCTAGCGATGAGGAGTTCAAGGCCTCCGAGGCCGAGAAGATCGAGATCCCCAAGACCGTCGATGTCCTCCAGGGTCTCCTCAACGTCATCCCTCTGCAGCTCATTGCCTACTGGCTCGCTGTTCTCGAGGGTCTGAACGTTGACTTCCCCCGAAACTTGGCCAAGTCGGTCACTGTCGAGTAAGCTGCTGGTCAGGACGACAGGCAGGTTTAGGCCGAGCCTTTTTTTGTCTTATTAGAAAAAAAGGAAAGGGAAGTTAGACTCTACGTGTGTTTTCTCCGCCCATAGGAGGCAATGATGAATGGTGCAATCTTAAAACTGGTAATAATACGAAATGCGGATTTGGCTTTTACGAAATCTGTTGACACTTGGCGGGTATCTTGGGTGTATCTCGAGTTTTTGGTATTTGAAGGCAAGGAAATACGTTCATAGCTATTTTGGCCAAGATAGTCTCTAGATTTAGGTCTACGAATGTGAAGACGACATATGACACCACAGAACAAAATGGACTAAACGTTCTTGTGAACCACCCATTTAGTTTTAATACTTTGATCAATTCTCGCTGTATCTGGTACTTGAGGCTTTGCTATAATGAGTGATAGCTTTTTAGGATTAGAAAATAAAGTTCAAGTGCCATTATCGAATTTCCATTTATCTAAACCGTCTGGGTTCCGTATCCTTTAATTCTATCAGCAAAAGCCCAGCTCTGGCCCTCCAGCTTCTCGTCCTCCTTCAGTTCAACGCCATCCTTGGTGATGACGGCGATGGAGTAGTGGTCCATGCTCCTGGCGTCACGGTAGAAAAGGACCTTCATGGACTCGCGGATGACCTCGATTGCGGTCTCCCGAGACAGCTGGGCGGCCGACTCCTCGTCGGGGGCGTGGCGGCGCATGATGGGCTGGGCGAGCATGGAGCCGTAGCCGGTGGCCAGACTGGGGGCGCTGTAGGTTGTGCCGAGGAGATCAGTGGCAGCCAGGAAGGGGGCACCCTCGTCGTCGAGGCCGGCGACGAGGATGTGGTTCCAGAGAGGGTCGAACTTGGACCGGCGCCTGTACATCAGCTTGGAGAGGTAGCGGTGGAGGTTGGCAGCGGAGAGACGGGGCTCGTCTGGGCTGGAGTAGTTCTCGCTGAGGGTGAGATCGGTGAGGTGACGGTTGATGTACTGCATGTCGGAGACGTCACCGCCAAAACCGACCACTGAGGTGCCCGCAAAGGTGCGTAGACGCTTGACGTCGGTGAAGCGGGCAAGGGAGCCATAGGATGCTGTTTGGAGGGGCAATCAGGTTAGCTACTCTGGAGAGATGAAAAGAATGGCATTTTTAAACGTAGCATCGGAGGAGCAACGTACCCAAGTTATCGGCAGCAATGACGACACCCTCCTTGAACTTGATAGCTAGTACGGACGTTCCAGTGACGATGGGCTGCTGGGTGTGTTGGGTAGGGTCATTGGGCTGGACATAAGACGCATCGTAGGGGCCGTAAACATCGTCTCTGGGCTATGGACAATCCAAACATCAGTATTCTGAGCTTAGATTGATGGGTTTGGAGGAGGCAACTCACACGGCCCCAGGCAACCGGGCGGTGGTCCATGATCTGTGGTGGCTTGAATGTGGTGTTGGGTAGACTCTCGAGGTGCGAATGCTGGATCTGCGAATCAATGGAGATAACAAAACCTCTCTAGATGTTGCAGGCCGGGGGAAGTCGATGGGTGCGAGGTTGAAGCTGGCGGCGATGGGGAAGCTGCCACTGTACCGCACTGCCGCGTGCCTGTGGTAGCCTGCCAGAGCTGCTGTGTCAAGGCAAGTGGTGGGGGGTGACGTGAAGCCGTTACATAAGCTGACATCACCCATTGATTGGCCCAGGAATGAGCTTCAAAGCTCGAGATGGTCTAGAATACGCCGGAACTGGTGGCACAATGGTGCAAGCACAAAGTATCAGGTACTTTACTTTATGCCGGCTGCAAGGCAAGCTCAACCATCCCTGTCGACGCACGCGGGCATGCATCAAAGTTCTCCCACCTCCTCCCCATTGCGCAGATCGCCCTTCCTCCCTTGGAGATAACAGACTTGTCGCTGAAAGCCTGCGGTCCAATTGTTGATTGCAAACCACAAACAACCCTGCCGCTAGACATCAAGGGAACATCTTTCCCTTTCATCCCGACGCGGCGATGCTTACCCTCACGGCAAAGGCGGCCGCCCGCCGCGCAGCGACCTCGTACCTGACCGGCTCCAGCAGTCTGACCACCAGATTTTCGGCCCTTGCCATTCGCCCAATTGCTGTGCGCAGCTTCTCCGTCTACCGATCGCCTCTCCTGGCCGCAGCCCGCCGTGCCACCCCGGCTAAGAAGACCACCACCAAGAAGGCAACCACCAAGACCGCCAAAAAGGCAGCTCCGGAAAAGCCCAAGAAGAAAGCCGCAGCCAAGAAGCCGGCTGCTAAGAAGCCGGTCGCCAAGAAGGTCGGCAGGAAGAAGAAGGAGCTCACCCCAGAGGAGGCCCAGAAGGCCGACATCAAGAAGTGGAAGAAGCAAGCGCTATGGAACCAGGAGCCAGCTGCCGGCAATGGCAGCGGCTGGGCAGTCTATGTTGGCGAGCAGTTCACCGCCCAGAAATTCGAGGAAGGCGACACCCTAACGGAGAAGATGCACACTCTGCGTGACAAGTGGAATGCGCTCTCTGATTACGACAAGGAGGTACGTTCTTATTCTGGTTCCATCATGACCAGATTGTTGTCTCTGGGGAGGAGAATTGGGGAAGGCTACCGAGTGCCATCGTGATATGTTCACTTTTACCTGTGATCCTCAATTGCTGACTTAATCTTTTCGAACCACTAGCGATACAAGTCCCAGGCCGAAGTTGAGGCAGTGCAGAGGAAGAAGCAGCGCAAGGAATGGATCGAGTCCCACTCGATCGAGGAGATTCACCTTGCAAACCAGGCCCGCCTCTTGCTGCTCCGCAAGTACAACAAGAAGAGCCCTAGACTCCATGATGAGAGAAAGCCCAAGCGACCCACGAGTGCCTTCGTCAGGTTCTTCATGTCTTATTACAATTCTCTCGATGCGGACGCAGCCAAGGCTGATTCAAGAAATCGGTTCGAAGGTGCCTCTGCGCGCTGGAAGACCATGAGCGAGGAGGAGAAGGCTCCCTACGCGAAGGAGTATCAAGAGGAGATGAAGCGATTCCTCGAGGAGAACGCGGGTTTCCAAGACAGGATCGACGAGTTGAGGAAGTCCATTTCTACCAAATAAATATTGACCGTGATGTGATATCGCTACTTGTCCTCACACCTGATGGCAAACTGCTACATGGATAGGTATTCACTACTTCACATAGTGACGATGAATTGTACATCTTGACTCATGTATAATTCAATACTCAAGGTTTGGAGAAAGGGGTTCTTTCGGTTAGCTCTCTCTTTTGTGATTCATTCGTTTTGGACGATGACCTGCCTCGAAATTTAATGAATGGTTTCTTCTCTGTGTCATGGCTCGAGGGGGAAGCGGATAGGTTCTGTATTATATCGCAATTCTAGATTAGGATGCCTTTTTTTTTTTCAATTCAGTTCGAATTTTCAACCCGCCTTCGATTTCAACAGACCCATTACTCCTCTGAAATGAACAGACCTAACTAGTAAGGACTTGAGTTATTATCCTTCGTACACGTCCATGCTTTAATGATTAGTGCCTTGGGTCAAGCAAAATACCCATTTCCACTCTACGCCAGGTTTCGCTTCTGGTAGCCCATCTAGTCCCAATCGTTCCCATATCTCGTAATAAGTACAATGCTGTATATACTGATGGTGTCATAAAAGTCGTAATATATTCCACCGTAACGACCAATTACAGAGGTGATGGATACTTCAGCTTTGCTTCAAGTAAGGGAGCACCCGTAGTACCGGTTTCGCCTCGGCATCTTTCCACACGGCCCCTGTATACTTGAGATGCCGACCACTTGCCAGGTATAGAAGCAGATATGCGTGCTTCACAAGTGATCCCCAACAATAGAGGCGGACCTCATCAAGAGCGGCGTCTCGGCGACACCATACCCCCCACCCCGCTAGACCGCCCTCAATATAAGGGATGAGGAAGTTCCAAAGATCGAGGCGGACATCTCGAGACCAAGAACTACAGTCCACAAGCCAGTAGCCACGCTCAAGGGGCGTGATGTCCCGATCAGCCTCTGGCCGGTACCGGGAAGACAGGTCAGCAGCAAGCTTCGCCAGCCTCTCCGGGACCGTGATGGGGAGTTCCAGATCGTCTACACTGACAGGTGGTGAAGGCGACCAGATCTCCAGCGCTAGAGGGGTAGTGGAGAGGCCTACCGGTTGCCGGACCCCTGTGTCGCTGGAGCTACGAGCAAGGGGCTTTCCCTGAGCAAGCGTCTTGAGTCTTTTAGATTGTGGCGGCTCTGATTCCGCCCTGGCGAAGGAAGCAGTGGGTGCAAGACTGATATCGCTGCTTGAGATGTGTGTGATATCCAAGCTTTCAGCGGCGCCCTCTCCACTATCGTCATTGGACAAAGATTCTCTCTTATCTGGCTGGCATGCGATTGGAGTGACTGGGATGATGGCTTGAGAGTCTGAGGGATGTGCTTCCGAGGAGGGTATTACGACATGGCTCCCGGAGATAGACAAGGGTAGGGATGATGGAATCTCGTCTGTGTTTAACCCCTGTGATGGACCCTTTGAACGAATTGGTGGTGTTTCTGGCTGGGAAGAGGATCGCGCCAAATATCGCTGCAAAGCACGCGTTGGCGACACAAACATCCGCGAAGTATTTGGAAGAGGATAAGAGTCATTGATCTGGCTTGGAGGGGCGATCCAAGAGGACTGGCTTTCTGGGATCTCGGGATGAGATGAAGGTATTACTATTTGGTGATCATCTTCGCGATTCATAGCCAGTAGTAGCTGCGGCGATGCGCGGTTGTCCAGGACGCCCTGAAAGCTTAATTCCAGAGAAGCTGGTGGCGTAGAGGTTGGATCTGGAGCGGGGGGGATATCATGTGTGCCAGCATCCTCGCGGTCATATGCGATATCTGCATCGCTGGTGTGGCTCTCGGTGTCCTCAATTTGGATAGTTGCTTGCGGTTCAAAGTTCAGGTATGCCTGGGCAAGCTGGCGGTACGTGGCATCGTCAACGACGAGGCTGGGCGCCGTGACGTGGACGAGGATTTCAACATCTGGAGGATCTGGAGCCATTTCCGGGACTCCTCAAGTGCCTAGTAGAAATCATGATCATACCATGCTGGGGCATAAGTATAAGGTTGGGTGGGCGTGAGAGAGTGCACGCAAATCTTAAATTCCTATCAGAGGGAAGTGGCAGTTGAGTGATCGGTGTGGGGGAAGGAGGGTCTCAAAGGGCTTGCGAAGGGGCCACAAATCGACAATACATGACGCCTTAAATACAAAGGGTGGCTAGAAGGAATGGCTTTGTCGGCGTGGTCCAGTGTCAGGCAGCACAGTTCAATAATCACCAACAGACATCAGCGTACAAGCTGGCGTGCATGGCGCCGTCCAATATGTCACTGAATCAGGCAAGTAGTGGTTGCGGATACATGCATGTGGAGGGGCATCAGCTGCAGGTGAAATCCACCTACCTGGTGAGCCGCTTCAGGTCAGCTGTTGCTCTGCTTTGTAAGTTCAGGTAGGAGTCTCCCAGACATCAACCGCCTGTCTTCATGGCTTAGTAGGTTAAAGCGTCGGTCTCATACATCCCTATGTGTGATCACTCTTAAGAGTGTGTAATCCGAAGGTCGTGAGTTCGAACCTCACTGAGGACAATCGCAATTTCTTTTTGGCTTTTCCTTTTTCTCCGTCTCATATCTTCGAAGGCCTAGTAGGCGTTTAAATATCACTGTCTTGAGCTGTTTTGATTTTTGATGCATCGTGATAATTGATCTTGAGATCTCCTGGGTGAAGTATTTCCCCCAAGACCCTTCCCAGATCTCCATGCATTGCAAGTCTCCGCACCGTCGTACTCGTGTCCGGTTGGCAGATCGCAGTCGCATTCGTACTGATACATACATGCACCAGGCCGCCACCCGAAAGTTTAGTATTCAACTGCCAGTTCTCTCTGCTCAAGTAGATGTCATAGCCGGCAGTAGCGAACAGATCAGCACTTATTCAGTTAGTACCTGTCGGTTGGATAACGGATGTAAAGTTAGTTAATGGCACAACAAGGGGCGCAGAGAGTGTCAATACATTATCGATAAATTTGGGTGGGTCCCATAACTTTCCCTGTCCTCCTCGACGTGGGTGTTGTCTATACATCTGTTCTCTCTTCCTGCCTAGTGCTGCGGGACAAACGACGATTTGCAATTGATCACCTCCAATTGACGCTACCCGCAATCACAATGTCCGAGAAACCTAGAGGAGACCTCGGCCGCGTCGTTGTCGTCGGCGGCAATGGCTTCCTGGGCCACCACATCGTCAACCAGCTCCTCAGCCCCTCATGGACCACCTCCTTCGTGGCCTCGGTCGACCTGCGATGCGAGAGGAACCGCAACCCCGACGCTGAATACCGCGAGTGCGACATTACCGATTCCGAGCGCCTGCAGTCCATCCTCGAGGAGCTGAAGCCAGATATCCTCATCCACACCGCCTCCCCCATTGCCGCCAACCACACCCTGGCCAAGGAGCTCTTCAAGAAGGTGAACATCGACGGCACCGCCTCCGTCGTCGAGGCCTGCCAGAAGAGCGGCGTCAAGGCCCTCGTCTACACCAGCTCTGCCAGTGTTCTGAGCGACGGAGTCAACCCTCTGTGGAACGCGGATGAGCGCTGGCCAGTCATCCGCGGCGACCAGCAGTCTGAATACTACACAGAGACCAAGGTCAGTTCCGGCCGTGCCGTCGCCAAAACCGCAATGTGACAGGAACTCAAAAGCTAACAAATGTATACCACATAGGCTGCCGCAGAAGAGATCGTTCTCAACGCCAACCGACAGGAGCCCTACAGCCTCCTCACAGCCTCGATCCGCCCCGCGGGCATCTTCGGCGAGGGCGATGCCCAAACGCTCCCCGGCTTCCACAAGGCCTACGAGACCAGAAAGCACAAGGTCCAGATCGGCGACAACACGAACCTCTTCGACTTCACCTACGTCGGCAACGTGGCCCACGCCCACCTCCTCGCCGCCCACCGCCTCATCGCCACCGCCAAGGCCGCGACCGCACCCCTCGACCACGAGAAGGTCGACGGCGAGGCCTTCATCATCACCAACGACTCCCCCGTCTACTTCTGGGACTTTGCCCGCGCCGTGTACTACGCCTCCGGCGACAGGTCCGGCACCAAGGGCACCTGGCACATGGGCAAGGAGATCGGCTACTTCTTCGGCGTCCTCAGCGAGATCTTCGCCTCCATCCTCGGCAGGACGCCCACCTTCACCCAGCTCAAGGTCACCATGACCACCATGACCCGTTTCTACAACATCTCCAAGGCGAAGAGGGTCTTAAAATACGAGCCGCTCTGGACTCTGCAGGAGGGTGTTGACCGAGGTATCCAGGCTCTGATCGCTGAGAGGCAGAAGTAGACTTGATATCTACCAGGCCTTCTAGGTTACCATATATCCCATCCATTTATTAATTGTACATATTCACTCGGTTGCCGCATATCTATAACCGAGAACTTATGAACCTACACGATCAGATAGTCCCATCTCATCCAAACAACTAGTAGCAGTTGTTTCGGATGAGCGATGATCATGACATAATTACAGCACGATTCATCCATACTACAAAACATGGAACAGAAAAATCTCAATTTTTTCTTCTTCTTCTCGTCGTGCCACTTATCGCCTAACAGAGCTTTTGCCCATATTCGAATGTAACAAAGGGGGTAAAGGAAAAAAAAAGCAGGAACATGCTATGGAAGAGGTGAACAGAGCACATACCTTGTGAAACAAAAACAAAAAGACCTCTCCAGCAAATCGTCCCAACTTCTCCCCCTCCGTAAAAAAAAAAGCAAACAAAAACAACCTCCTTGAAGATCCAGTTCGAACAGAATATTTTTACCCTTGACTTTCATTATTTAGGGGGTAGATGAGCCATTGATCCAGCACCCATATCCCGATATCCTCCCCCGTGTGTATTTTCGACCTTTTCAAAACTTTTTTGTGACCCCTTAAGGATGAAATGAGCAAAAAAAGGTGTTCCTGGAATGTGGAATGGTATATTCTGAGAGAAGAAAGAGAGAGGTAGAGGTGGGGCGGGGCAGGGAAAGTATCGTTTGATGGATGGGACAGCTTCAAGCGTTGTCCCATCGTCTCCGTGAAATGTGAAAGGGGATCACATAGACAAGCAACGGAAGGTATGCCTCCTTTTTGGGCTGTATCCAACGCCGATCTATATAAAGAGAAAAGAATAGCGTGGCCTCTCAAGGCAAAGGGAAAGAAATGGTAGATTGATTTAGAGAAAGGGCCGGCTCTTGTAATCTGACTCGGGGAGAAAAGAAATCTCATTAGGGCCGTGCCGTACCTGTTTGCAGAACTTCGGTCCCGGGAGAGAGAATGGCGGTATCGTGCCCAAGGAAAAGAGAAGGGTAAAGGGGGAAAGGCGCGCGTCGAAGCGAAGCAAAAGGAAAAAACAGGGGATGCAAAAACGTAGCTTAAGGCTGCGTATCAACATTTCGTCAAGAGTGGTTGTCAAAATGAAAACCGACTCCGTTGTGTCTTGCGTCATTGAGTTATTTGTCTCATTGAGTGTCGTTTGATGGGTTGGAAGTCATAGAAGGGTTGGGCAGGAGCAAAGGGAAAGAAAACCATGAACGCCGTGGATGATGCATAAGAATCTAGACCCAAATCATGCCCTCCTACCTATGCAATGATGGATTATGATGAGCTGGCGCTTTCATCCGAGAAAGGTTCAATGCCTAGGTAGGAAGGATTGAGCATTATAGGTTACCGCTCACTCCAAGACCACCTCCCTGGCGGCCCCAGTTGGAATTCCTCCACTCTCGTCGTTGGTTGTCGGGAGAATCAATATGGCTGTCAGACTGATTGAATTGGCTTGAGTAGGGGCCTGGTTCGCTGGGGCCTCTGAACCGTCCTCCACTGGATGGTGGCCCCGGTTGCGGCCCATGTGGAGAGGCGCCGTAAGGGGGTGTTTCCTGTACATGTCGTACCGACGCCTCACCTTGCCACAAAGCAGGATCGGTCTCTACTCGCCTAGGTGGCGGTCGAGTAGAGCTCTCTTGGCGATTGTACACCTCATTGACCTCGGTGATGGAAACTTGCCCTCTTCGTTCCTGGAATCGCTTCAGTATTTCCTTGGTGGTGAGTTCGCCACTGCTGCTGAACAGATAAGGATCGTTCAACAGGGCAGAAATCTCATCAGGAACCTTGAGAGAAGCTGTTAGTTTTGAATCGATGGTTTTTAAGGGGAATTGGAGGGCTTACCTGGCACATCTCCTCGATGTTTGAAATTAGCATCTCGACGGCATCGATAACAAAAATAGCTTCGCTATCCAAGGCCATCGCTTTAGATGTGTTGGTGAGAATATTTGGTGCAATGACAGTGGCCAAATTCCTGACGTCCATCTTGGATCCAAGTTCCTCGTCAAGTTGGTGGAAAGACCCGGCCCACTTGAGGAAGGAGAACAGAATTTCGAGAGAATCCCGGTGGCTCTTTGGTAACAGACAGCATGTTAAGTGTAGACATTGTCTCCGTTGGTCGGGGTCGGCAATCTTGGCCGCGCTAATCCACAACTTGTAGAGCTTGTGTGTCATTAGAGGGTCAGGCAGATCTCTGAGGTATCGCTTCAGGAGTGCTGCCAGTTGCACTACGGGCTGCTCCATGAAATTGACCACGTCACAGCCTTCGGCATTAATCTTCTCGACCATTTCCTGTTGCTTCTTGATATTACCGTTCTTGCGGAACACACCCTCCACTGACAAGTCCATCTTGCGCATGCATGAGATGATGTCGTCGACGACTGCAGGAATCCGTAAAGCGCCAGGACCTACACCATCTGTCGAGTCTGCCCCGTCTCGCTCGATAATGACCTCGATGGGTACGCCGAATACCCCCTTCTTCTTGACGTTCTTGCTTTTATCATTCTTGAAGGCCTTTCCAAGATTCTTCCAGAATGTGGCTTGCTTCCTCGATTCGATAAAGCCCAGCAGTTCATCAAGAGAAAACTCTTGTTCGATCATGGGCTGCATGGTCAAAACTGCGAGATGCCTGACGTTGAAGTACTCCAGTCCTGACAGCTCGGAAAAGAACTTGCGATTAATCCGCGTCGGCAACATGTCGTGCCCGTGGGCGTCTTGATCTCTTCCTGATGATTGGGTTCGATGGTGACCCCCGTCCCCCGCGGGGGATCGCCCATTTAACTGGCGCTCCCGTTCTTGTTGTTGCGACTGTTCGACGGCGACAATTCGAGGGATGTCGTCGAGAGTGATGGCATCGTTCTGTCCGAACATGACATCTGTAGATCCTTGGATGTTCTGGTTCCCATCGGCGCCGGGTGACCCAGGGCGAGGTCCTTGGCCATCCGCGTCCATCACCCGCGAGGTCCTAGCTTGCCTAACGCTGGACGACAAATGGCGATCTAGTCTTGTGCTACGTAGTCGGCGAACATCATTAAGAGTGCTCTCGTAGGACGACTCACGACGATGATCTCTGTCGGTGGTAGTGTTGCGAGAATTGGACCTCGAATCGAGTGAGGAGGGGTCTCCTGGGTTTCTCGACACCTCGCTCCCACCAGCTTCAGAGATGGTTCCGTTGCTCCTCAAAATATCTAAAAGACGCGCGAGTGCCACCCTGAGCAGGAAGACGTATTGTTGGAGTTTGGACACGTGCTCGCAGACCGAGGTAGCATCGGCTTGCGAACCAAGGCAGGTCACACAGTAAATCCTTCGGTCAATAGGACTGAACAAAGCCTCTCCCAATGTCCGACCTAGCTCTCGCCGACAGCGGGTGCAATTGACGCAATTAAGGTGCCATCGTATGTCGCCGTTCTTTGCGCACTCGTCCTCCACAGATCGATTACAAAGCGCGCAGTGATCCGAGTCCATAGCTGAGAGTCGAAGCCCACCCTGGGTAACCTGCAGAGCACCTTCATCGTTCTTAACGGCTTCGAAGTCGTTCAGGTCATCGAGAAACTGGTAGAGGCCCTCGGATGTGCTGGCTTCTCGCTCTAGCCGGAGCGCACCCTGAAGGCAAATGCGAATAAGAAGTTTTAGGTAATGAGCCAACCCTGTGACAAGTGAAAGAAGTTCTTGTGTGACGCCAACTTTGCGAGATCCTGAATCTTGGTTTTTGGAAAGCAATGAAAAGAATGATACGATTTTCTTACAGAGAAGCTTTGCTTCTCGTCCGTATGACATGCCTATAAGGTATTCCCAGTCAGCACTTGCGCGTTGATACTTTGAGCAGGAGAAAATGAGCACAACATACCTTTCCCATGTAGCTTGCTCATGGTCTCGTCCAGCTTGTCGGTGGACTGGAACAGAATCTCAACGTGCCAAATAAAGCGCTTAGCTATTAGAACACCGTCGATGTAAGCTCCGTTGCTGACGTGAAGAAGCATGTCGGAAATGCAGGCGGCAGAGGACTCCTCGAACGTCGATAGTACGCTCCAGATACGGTATACTTTTTCCTCCATACGCTCCTCCACATCTCGGATCATGTCTCGACTTGTCGGATCATCTGAAGCATTGGCCATCGGCGGCTCGTCTGTGGGTTGAGAAAGCCGCACATTCCAGAACTTGTGTATCATGTAACATTCTGGGTGCCAGTGCTGGTTCTGTCCATTGCGGAATATCTCGACAAACTGTTTCAAAATGGCAATCTGACAGCCATTGCATCGCTGGGCGAATTGGGTCGAGTAGTGGTAGTGGCAGTAAACGTTGCCGTCGTGCTCGTAGTAACTGTCTTGCGCACCGAACACCGTATCACACAGCGAGCAAGTAAAATGGTCGACGTGGTACTTGCGGTCCAGAGCGGTGATGTATGATCCTCGGAGTGCTCCACCGCATTGGTAACATAAAAGCCCCAGTCGTCGGAAATAGTCTGTCTCGCAGAGGGGATACTGCCCCTCGCCGTTCTCGTCTTCCACCGGGAAGAATTTGGATGCCACGATATCGCCGCAGTCCTAAGAGGAACAAAAGTCAGTATGCTTCTGAAGGGGGTGCATTGGGGGTGCACATACGCGACATTTGAAACAGTCGAGGTGAAAGGTCCCATCCAGGGCTCGTACAAACTGTCCTGTCAGTGGTTCGCCACACTTCTTGCAGACTCTCAGCTGCCCACTTGCAGTCCGCCCACTGTTGTTTCTTCCTCGCGATCGGTTCCTCTCTCCACCACCATTACCACCGTCACCTCTCTCGCCGTCCCTGTTCGCGGGGGGGATTCCTGAATTGCTTGATCCAGACGTCTTGGGCTTCAGTCGATGCTGTCCGCCATTTGGAGGGATGTGGGCCCCATTTTGCATGTCCCTTTCCCCGATGGCCATGGGGCCAGGGCTGGGGAAGTCATTGTGACGGTTCCCACGAAAGTCCCCCAAGGGACTGTGATTCGGTTCCGACGCCAT